ATTTATGATAATCAGATTCCTGCTGATCGGCTGTGGAGGAGTTCTGGTTTATCGGAAAAAGAGAACGACACTGACGGCGGTCCGGGCCTGTGAGAAGCTGCCTGTGTCCCTGGATGGAATCTCTCGTACAGTGAACGCACAGACTCAAATGATGGRAGAGTTGAATCGYAAACTGGATGTGGTTCTGACTAGGACCGCAGCCCAGCGGCGTGAGGAGTAAGGCAACATCTGGATGAAGTTCATAGCCTTTTGCTACGACTACATTTAGCTACTTTTAGTGGTTGCTGTTTTTTGCTATCCTTTTGCTACTTTAACATTTAGCTAGACTGAGCCTACTTTAAGTACTGCCGTTCATTGTTGCTACCTTTAGCTATTCTTTCACTATTTTTAGCTCGCCTTTTACTACTTTTAGCTGGATTGACACTTTCGGTTAATCTTAGCCTACTTTTAACTACTGCTCCAATTTAGTAACATTTTGCTACTTTTAACTATTTTTTATTAGTTTTAGCTTCTGGCTACTTTTAGCTATTAGCTAGTTTGCATTGTTATGTTTCTAGCTTACTTGTAATATTTTTATTCGGCCTTTTGATACTTTTGGCTGGCTTTTGTAACGTGTCTTAATTAGACTTTTGCAGTCTTTAGCATCTAGCTATCTTTTTGATTCTTTTAGCTAGCTTTTTACATTTTTAGCTTTGATTTAGCTTTTTATTAGCTACCCCTTTTCTATTTTTAGATCATTTTTGCTACTTTTAAATTTTGTATAGCATTTAGCCATTTTTAGTTTGTAGCTTGTTTTAGCTAGTATTTTGCTACACTTAGCAGTTAGCAAGTACTTAGCTATTTTTAACCTTAAGCAATGATTAGCTTAAAGCTAGCCTTTTGGTCCTTTAAAATTCCAGGAAGCCTTTTTGTAGTAAAGATTTTACTAGTCTTTTGCTTCAATTTAGCATCACCAACTCAATTTTAGCTTCTTCAGTAAACTTCAGCAGTTATTCAGCTCTTTGAGCATTTGAGTTTTTTCTAATCGGAAACAGAAACAACCTTCTTGTTGTTAAATCATAAAACAAACATTTTATTTCAAAGTATTTTCAGATATAATTCTTTTAAATCACCTCAGCTGGACGTGACGCTAACATCAGAAACACAAACTTTTTTTAAACTTGAAAACCTCCTGTCTGTCTTATCGACATGGAGACGTGTCCCTGTCGTCCCTGCAGCTCGTCCTGCCTGTCCCTCTCTGCCTGTCTCTCACTCCTGGTCTTTGTCTTTCTGTGCAGAGAGACGGCGGTCAGTGAGAAGACTCTGAGGACAGCGGCAGCGTCTCCTGGCGGCTCACCTTCCTCCGGTCTTGAAGATCAGGTCGGCGTTGGGCGCGCCCTTCGGGTGCTGGTAGCGAGGCCGGCGCTCGCGGTTGGTGTTGGCCGGAGCCGGACGCTGCGCCAACGACTGCATCATCTCTGCAGGAGGAAGAGAGAAAAAAAATAACATTTAGGATGGATTTAAAATGTTCAACAGACACAAAACAATAAACAAGCATATATATTTAGTAACTTTGCAAAATTCAATAATTATTCTGTGATTTCGTTATTGGGCCAATAATTGTTTAGTAGGTTAAAAACTGAGTAAAGCTGATGGTTGTTGAGCAGGAAAAACAGAAACAGAAAATCTACAAMTTTTAGATTTTAGTTACTGTTTTGCTATTTTTAGCTTTGAGTAATGGATTTGCAAATTTTAGCTTTTAATTTGGTTTTGCTAATTTTAGCTTTTAGCTACTGAATTGCTACCATTTTGCTGGTTTTTGTTTTTAACTATTGTATTACTAATTTGAGATATTTTTAGCTACGGTCTTGCAAGTCTTAGCTTTTAGTTATTGTTAGACTAATTTGAGTTTTTAGTTATTGTTTTACAGATGTTAGCATTAGCTACTGCTTTGCTAGTTGTTGTTTTTAGCGAATGTATTGCTATTGTTTTACTGGTTTTAGTTTTTAGCTAATGTGTTACTAATTCAAGCTTTATTTAGCTACTGCAAATCTTAGCTTTTAGTTGATGTTTAACTAATTTGAGTTTTTAGCTTTTGTTTTGTTTAGAACTAGCTACTTTTTTGCTAGTGGTTGTTTTTAGCTACTGTATTGCTACTGTTTTACTGGTTTTAGCTTTTAGCTACAGGTTTACTACTTAAAGATATTAGCTACAGTTCCGCTAAGTATATAAGTTGCTACTTTTTACTAATTTGAGTGTTTAGCTATTGTCTTGTTAGTTTTAGAACTAGCGACTGTTTTGCTTGTTGTCGTTTTTTGCTACTGTTTTGCTCCTGTATTACTGGTTTTAGCTTTCAGCTACTGGTTTACGTTTAAATATGTTAGCCACTATTCTGCTACTTTTAGATTTTTGTATATAGTTTTGCTCGTTTTAGCTTTTAAAGTAATTTAGTCGGAATTAAAGCAACTTTCTCAAAAACAGCTAATTTTTTCCAACATCAACTCCTCTGATTTCATTTTAGAGCTAAAAATTAAATCTAATGAAGAATCTAATGAGAAAAAGCTAAAATAAAGTTAATTTTCTAAACAGAGGTAAAACTTCTGATGATTCTCAGGTTTTTCCCTGACTGACTTGTTCATCAACTCGTTTTTTAGTGGTGATTGACTCTTCAGGAAATGGCCTTTTAATTGTCAGTCAGTGTGAAAGACATGAAAACTAAAATCAAACGAGATAATTTCGGCTCCGACATGCAGACAGCTTGGACTGGTTTCAGGTTTCCTGGCTGCGGAGCTGCAGCAGAAACAGAACGAGGYGAGCGTCTCGTACCCTGGTAGTCCTCCTGCTCCTGCCTCTCGTTGATGTCCAGGGTCAGTTTCTTCATCCTCATGCGCTCCTCCTGCTCCGCCTGCTGCTGGTTGAAGTGATTCGCTGCCAGGTGGGACGACAGGGGGACGTTCAGGATCTTATACTGATGAGCAAAAGAACAAGTTTTCAGTTACAGCGCTGACGCAATTTAACAAAAACAATCATAGAAACAGCCAAAGGATTGAGCTTGAGTCATTTTAAACATCATAAACAGCTAAACTGAAATGACTGAAACTCATTTTAGATAAATTGAGCTTAACTTGATTTGGAAGCAGCTGACTGTGACCTCCAGCTAAGCTAACAATGCTAACAGTTTGCTAAGTAATGGCTGCTACAGCTATCTGAGCAGAAACAAAACTAGCTGTCCTGAAAATACAAAAAAAAAAAACAGCCTGTTAGCTTAGCTTAGCATAAAGACTGGATATGGATGGAAACTGCTAGCCTTTTGCTCTGCTTTTAGTCAAACCTTCAACAAAGAATTTCTGTTAGCTTAGCTTAGCATAAAGACTGGATACGGATGGAAACTGCTAGCCTTTTGCTCTGCTTATATTCAAACATCCAACAAAGAATTTCAGCATAAAACTTGACTTTTTAGCTTCGTCACAATAAAAACTTTATTTTAAACAGGATTCCTGAAGGTGGAGCAGATCAACACACTGCTGAATGTTGGTTCTGTTGCAGGAACACACACACACACACACACACACACACACACACACACACACACACACACACACACACACACACACACAC